TAAATGTAGTTTATCTAGTCTACAAAAATTTGCATGGCAAAACAATTTAAGAAGGCCGAGGGATGAAAAATATTTGTAAATAACTAAATATACATGTAGTTTATCTAGTCTACATTATTTAGAATGACAAGATTTAAAAATAGGAAGTAAAGAAAAGGAAGAGTTGTTTCTTTTATTGGCTTTCTATAAAAAAAATGGGATATTAAAAATATATAACCCACAATTTGCAGAGAGGATTGGGTTGTTCTCACTAACACGTACATGTACATGTACACTAATGCTGTAATTATTTCACATTTTATCCATAGTATAAAGAAGTAGGCCTAAAAATGTAGACTACTTGATCTGTCAAGAAAAATTAAAATCATTTCATTTCTAAATGAAAAAGTATAATCAAATTACATGTAATGATATACAGATAAAGAGGTTGTAGAAATATCAAGTCAAGTGGGTGAAGTGGAAGTGAATGTGGGTGGTGTTATTGAGGAAGTAAACCGTTTAAATTGTTTTTATTGACTTAATCCATGTAGGGAGAAGGACAAACATAAGACATATCGTACTGTACATGTATCCATTGTGGTAATATTCCTTCAATATTTCTTCTACTTTGCTTAAGTACACACCACCATAGGGTGTAATTTCTACCTTTTTTTGTACTGATGTAGGTGCTGTACAGTTATATACATGGTACATGTACATGTAAATATCTTCTACATATTGTGTCGACATAATTACTGTATGTATCTCTTTTATCCTATTGTACAATAACTTCTTTATTTTTAAGTTACAAGCCTAACATTCCAACTCACCTGTCCGTTTATTATGTATTTCTGTCTCAGTAACAATAAAAAGCAAAGAAGGTGTCAATAGTCAATACTGAGACAAAAATTTGCATTTTGTGGAGCTTTAATCTCTGAACTCTTTATTTACCATGAATCCAAACACTGGTCTGCCACATTTTTACATGTACACTGTACATTTGAAAAAAAGTTGACTACTGCTGCAGTCCCCTGTTTGTTTCATTAGTAGACCAAAGAGAGTAAAGAGTTCCATTACTGTACTCATACATATTTACAAATTTCATTTAATTTAAGATTATTCTTTATTCATCTCCTTACAGAGAAAGCAATGGCAGGCGAGGAGGACACCCACTTTCCGTTAGGTGAAGATGACAACTCGTGGAAGTACTGGATTGAGAAGAACATTATTCTGTGGGCTGCCAAGGACCCCTGGGGCTTCATCTCCACCATCTTCATGTTCCTCACCCCTCTCTTCATCCTCAGCGGTATCCTCTCCTACATCCTATACAAAGACATTGAGAAGAAGGAGAAGGAGAAGAAGCGAAAAGCCAAGCGGGACACCAACATTGCCAAGGCACGCGGGAGAAGTAATCGCTCAAAGAAGTCAGATTGATGACGATGAGGATTATCTTTGATTAGGACTTTCTCCTTGACTTGCTACAAGATCAACCTGATTTGACTCTTCAATTGTATGGATTAGAAAGGACAGTATTTAATTTACTCAAGATTTGAATGACTTTGAAAAAAAAATTGTATTTTGCCAGTCACAACCCATGTGAGAATAGAGAAAGAGAACAGTGGTCTGTTTTATAAGTATGTGGAAGCTATCAGAACATCAAGGATATTGCATCTTAGAAACCTGTGTCGCAGTTCTGTTTGATTTTCTGCCCTTACAACGATGTCAAGGAAACGGACCACAACAGCTCATGGTTCTATTTCAACCATAAATTGGTAGCATGCCAGCAGCCCTACATCATGTGACCATATTTTGTAGCAAGTATTGCTATGGTAGAAAGCTATGGTAAGACAATATTGAAGGTGAAATTTAAAAGAACAATACCAAGGAAATATAGTTTTTGATGTGATAGATTGAACTTTGGGTATGGGTACTGAGTAGTATGTTTTTTAAAGTTTTTTTGTATAGATTGTCTGTGTAGCCATTTGCGTAATTTTTACAGCTAATGTATTTTTTGGTTCATTTCAATCAGAAGTACATATATGGCAAGATAAATTTTAAATCCCCCCACAAGTGTGCTCTAAAGCCTAGAAATACAGGTAAGAATTTCAGTCTAGAAATCAATGTAGAACTACCTGTACCTCTCCCTCCCTCCCCCCCAGGATTTTACTTGTATTGACTAATTTGAGCTTTTAGAACATTCAATTCATTATCTATGACAAGCCTTTTTAAGATACTATGGTCCTGTCCAGGATAAGATTGTTGACTACAATCAGGAAATTGCACCAAGATGTATTCAAATCAAGAAAGTGTATCAATGATACACTTATCATCAGACACATTAGGTACAGTACATCAATTGTTGTCATTGCATAGCAGGCCAGCCAGACTTCAACCAGGTTGAGATTGAATACTAGGCATATTGTTAATCATTTTGATTTTTGATCAACAGAGTGCTGTAATGTAGATTCCGAGTATATCTTCAATGTGCAATATGACTTATTCTGTGTACCTGAATGACATTGTTGATCAGTACAGCTTTATGTACTTGTTTTACAACAAAAAACCTGTTTGTATAAAATAGAAAAGTAGACAAGAACTACCTATGATTTATATGCACCAGTCATTGTGAATGACTTCAATTCAAAACAAATTCATTACCAATTGATTGTGTCCGTTTTATATTGCAAGTGAATTTATCATCATTTACAACAAAAAAATGTTCATACTATGGTGTAATACTTTGGAAGCTGTAAGCCAATCATTTGTAGTTCTACATGTACTAATGCATTGTATTGACTAAATTGAGAAGCGGAAGAGCTGTGAGACATTTATCTATGACTTGTCTAGTCTATAGCTTGCCTTTTGCAGTTGATTTCAACTTGTATGCCATAACTTGGTGTGAACTCTGAAATATTTGTGGTCTTTAGAGCTGGTTGATCCTGTTACATTTAAAGAAGGAATGTAAGCAAGAGATAACAAGCCTAATCATTTAAATATTATTTATGTAATTGCTTACAAAATAATGCAGACGTTACTGTAGCTACAAATAAATTTAGGCCTACTCATAGGTGTATGATAATACATGTATACTAGTATATGCTGCTTGAATGACAGTCTATGTATGCCCCATACATTTGTATACATGTATACAAATCATTGGCGTGTAGATTTTGGAGGATAAAACGTATCTTATTTGACTTGCCAAATCATGTGCAAATGGCAAATATGTTGTAAGCTATCTATTATTTCCATATACATGTATGCTTTTAACAAGCAAGATGTTTGACTACATAATAAACATCATAAAACATGCATTCATGTTGTCATTTTTCATTTCCATATCCCAATTCACTGTCAGAGTTATTTTTCACAGAGAATCAGTCTTTGCCTCATTTTCTTGTATCATGGTATTTGTTTTGTTTGTAAGAGCTTTCTTTCTAAACATAGAATGTTTAGAATTCAGTTTTGTCCCAAAGTTTAACAGAAATGTATGTACTCATACATGAAAATAAACATAATACTTTGATTAAAACAGATCAATACCTTAAATAGTAAGATCTAGCTCCCTGCAATAAATGATAAGAATATAAAAGTATTCTTTATAGAGCACTTGGACCTTGGAACATTTGAATTTTTATATACACATTTCTCAAAACATCACAAAATTGAATACTGGACATCCACTTGTATTTATTTAGGCTGTAACTGAGATAAACCAGGAAAGGCAGTCTCATCATTTGAGATAGATAAGCAAAAGTATTGGTTACGAGATGCTACATCCTGGTTAAAAGTGTCAAGAATTGTACATGTATGCTATACGTAAGTTAACTTTCAGTCATGGACAGTGATAATTACTATATTAGCCTAGCTTTGTTGTTTTCTAGTTCCCATCTACATGTATTTTGTTACTTGTTCTTGTGTACTGTTAAGACTATTCATCATACAGAGATTGTTCATTTTCCTTTCATTGGTAGCAGATGTACCTGAAATGCCCTAGATGTGTACTAGATTTACAAATTCAATATAGCAATGCAGAATATATTCCATTCAATTTGACCTTTGTAATTGTAGATGTGCATGTAAAAGGTAGATGAATTTTTTTGTGTCATCCTTTGAAAATTGTGTCACTGAAAGTTTTGTACCTGTACATTGTGAATGTATAAATTCATGGTGTTTATTAAATTGTAATTAATTATTACAGCAATAAAGATGAAATCTGACTAACCAAGTCGTTCTTGCTTTCTTATCTAAATTATCTAAAGTGAACCTGTCATTAAGAATCTGTTCACTGTACAAATAAAGACTTCTCACACTTCCTCCTAGTATTACATTATTTTACGTTCAAAGACTTGTTGAGATTAGAAATCTTTTAAAGGTCGTAATTGTTTTTTTAATATTTTTATTTCATCCATTGAAATAGCCCATTGTATTTTTTTGAAAGAATGCCACAATCAGTTTCCGTACAATAGGAATGAAAACACATGTACAAGTAGTTTAATTGTGCATGGATCTCATTGAAAATACACGATGTATATTTAAATGAATGAACAAATGTATAAAAGGATTTAAATGCAAGATTACTATTTTCTACTCTGTTAAGGACAACATTTCCCAATATTTCCATATATGCCTTACTTTTCTTGGATGGTTGGCAAATGAACAAAACAAAATGACAGTAACTATCTACAAATTGTATTTCAGTGTTTGTTTTCCTCTGAAGTCATGCCGTCTATAACTTTGGATGGATTTTTGCATTTTCTCTCAAATGACTAAATCTGTATTTTTGCTCTCTCTCTCTCTCCCTCCCCTCCATTTCTACTCCCCTTCTCTCTCTCTCTCTCTCTCCCCCCTCTCTCTCTCTCTCTCTCTCTCTTTCCCCCTCTCTCTCTTCCCCTCTATCCCCCTCTCTTGATCACTGTCTTTAAATCTCCTTTCTTGCCCACTCTCTCAATGTCTGACCCACCATTACACACCTCACTATCTGGAGCTGTATTTAAAAGCAAAGTAATTGAAAATACACATTTTATTTACATGTAATTTAATTTCTAACCTTATATTGATACATATTGATACATACTTCATGCAAGCATGAATGAAGAATAAATATCACCCTGAATGATACATCTTACCAAAAGTAAAAACAAACCATTACTTTTTAGCGCTTCTATTCGTATATTAAAGTCACCATGATCATGGAACATGCATATTAATCAGATGTAGAATGGCTACATGTATGTCTGTCAGCTTTTCCAGCTAGAGCACTATATGAATATCCAGATGCAGAAAAGCTAAGTCCTCCACTTCCTTGTGTTCCAACCGATGCCTTGCAAGCAATGCACAGTATTCCTGCAGTCAAGTCCAAATTTGATTCTATCCTTTAAATTATCTTTCCAAGGTTCATGACCAATCCTGGACATCTGTTCATGGGTGGAATCCATGGTATGACAGAATCTTGATCAAGTTTTGGATGGTTTCCATGCCGCAGGTTCAAAGTCCTTTCCAGTACTGACTGCTTCAGATCCAGAATCAATCTTTTCATAGATGGGTGCTGAAGCATGACCTGATTTTAATTAAATATGTAGAAAACCATTGATAAATACACAGTATTTCATTTTTACACATGGAAATAGAGCACTTATACATTTATATAGAAGATCTAAGCAATTTTTTATGCAAGAAAAACAAATTATATACAATTTAAATTTCATTCAAGAAAAATAAACTGAGAGGATACCATGAATTATTTTCTGCAATATGAATTTTGAACGTTACCTAATTTACAAGAAACAATACGTTGGCTATAACCCTTGCTTAAATTAAAATAAAGTCTTTGCCTGTCCTCCCCCCCCCCCCCAAAAAGGGTATTGATTTAGCCAAGGTTAATACATACAGTTGTAAAGATGTACGTTATCTACAATAGAGTACCGAAGCTGTGACGTCATAAAAATCTATTTTTAGAATTTCTCAATTTGTTCTTCATTTTCCGAACGAACATCAAAAATAACGTCCAAATGTCGAAAACAAATTGAATATGTTAAATATTGGCTGAGATATGACCTTCTGAATAAAGATACTCCCCATAGGAACTCAGTGTTATATGCTCTGGCTCCTAATGGTTAGGAGCCAGAGCATATAACACTGAGTTCCCATAGGACATATATTCATTCGGATGGTCATAACTCAGCCAATATTTAACATATTCAATTGGTTTTCTACATTTGGACATTATTTTTGGTGTTCTTTCGGTATATGAAGAAAAAAATTGAGAAATTCTAAAAATAGATTTTTGATGACGTCACACTTCACCACTCTATAAGACAAGACAAGTGCATCAAATTTCTCAATTCTATTTTTTTGCAATTAGATGAAATCAGTGGTGCAGTGACCAGTGATTGTAGTGCCAGGGGAGGGGGGGGGGGTGGAACGGAGGCACCTATCTCACTAGGTGGACGAAGCAATGCCATTGAAGTGAGGGTGAGGAATGTCATATCTTCTTTTCAGGTCACATTTTAACCTAAACTGCTTCCTTTTCTTTTCTCTCTTGCACAACCCCACTCGCTCCTGCTCATGTAATTGTACAGAGGTAACCCACTGGAGAAAAATTTTTACACGATAAAGAAGAACATTAATACTCACCCTTAGCAGTTACTTGTACAGGCCTGGCCACCAACCCTTCTTCATACTCTCTTTCTTGTCTCTTTAGAAAAAGAAGGGTAAAGAATAAAAGTGAAACAATAATAATTAAACATAATATACAAGATCTTTAAAACAAACAACGGAATCTTGAAGTGTCATGATGAATGCATTCAGATACCAACTGATAAGTCCATCAATTACCAATTATTCATAATTTACAATCTCTTCTTGACATGCCCTAACAGTTTACCCTGACAATGATTTGCGCCAATTACTTTAACTTCAAACAGAACACTAATCCTTGTCATGATTTCAGGAAACTTATTGTTGTTGTTTTTTCTGATTTGTATCAATTACACAAGTTATAGATGAGGAAGAGATGTATCCTTTAATTCCTTATAACCCCTTGAGAGTGGTGTCTGAGCCCCCCCCCCCCCCCCCCCCCCCTCCAGGAACGGAGGGACCTGTTCATGTTCCCAAAATGTCCCCAAAAAGGGGTACTTTTCATGCAGCAAAGTCTGGCTTGTAACACACACAAAATTGGCCCGTATTGACTTTACACACCGGACTTAGGGGGGTGTTTTCAAAAGAAGGGAAAATGCATACGCGTTCCCTAAATAACACTGAGTGGGGGGGGGGGGCGGTTGTCTGAGTCTCTGAGATGTCTTGATGTGGTTATACCCCCCTTGAGTTGATGACGTTTGCCCACTTTCAATCAGACAATTAATCATACCTCTTTATCCTTGAGCTCTACTTCTGCTGCCCTGGCCTTAACGATCTGAGTCTGATTTTCTCTCCTGTCAATCTCTTCTTCCGTCGGAGGTAGCTCCCTTCTGCCTCTCACCCAAGCTGTAAATTAGCAACAAAATTGTTCACAGCTATGATTATATTTAATATAAAAAACACTTTATTTAGTTCAGAATTGTGCTTAATTTGTTAAATTTTATGTCATTGTCACTTTGTAGGCATTTTCTTAAAGGTAATACAAAGTTTTGGTATGATTCAAATGATTGGAAGCATATGTGATCCTACAATATTCAGTGACCGTTGTTGCAGTTGAAATCAAGTCTAAGGTGATGAAAATGTAAATAATAAATTCTTTATGTTGTATAGCTCCCTCTCGAAACTGATATTACTTTAGCCCTAAAACAATATTTCTTGATCGATCAATTTTCTATTCCTGTTTGGAAGTTATATATCAGAACTGCATATTCTGAGATTTTCATGGTTGCAGCTACTATGGAATGGCCTTAGGCACTATTTGAAATATGTGAAATTTACCAGGAGCACTGGTAAACTTTTTTTATTATTCAATTTCTCGAAAGCAGAACTGTTTTAGGGTCTAAATCTCCCAGTGCTTATAATACATCCACAGGGGCATCCAAATTACTGGTACTATAATCCATCCAAATTTCAAAATTTCCCTAAACTTTGCATTACATTTAAATTCTGTAAAAATGTATGTTTAAAAAATTGTAGAGAAATGTATAGAATGTTTCTTTCATGGGATCATAAAGCTGATCTAGAAGAGGGCTTGAAAATTTAAGCCCCATCCCCCCCCCCAAAAAAAAAATATATATATATATATAAATCTTGATGACTGGATTAAAAGATATAAAGGTTATATCCATGACCATTGATTGCAATGGGAGTAGCAAGGATCATCAAATAAAATAAAAGAGTGATAATGTAGGAGAAAGATACATTTAAGTACATCATTTTTGTACTTTTTATTAATAAGAAAATAATAATAATATTAATAATAGTGGGTTCTTATTATATTATGATATTATTGTTATAATTATTATTATTATTATTATTATTATTATTATTATTATTATTATTATATTTGTTGTAAGGGCCTCTGAATCAAGTCATCCAGCAATATAAAATAAAATAGCTTCTTCTTCTCCATCTCCCTTTTCTTCTTCTAACAGTACAGTTAGTATTTAACTTCACAACGTTAGAGTAGTTTTATAGTCTTATACTAGAGTGTTTCAATCCCCATCATGTAAAAATTTAAAGGGGAAGACGTGCACCTTGCTTTTATTATTTTGATAGAAGCAGAACGATGAGAGGAACAGGTTTGAGCAAATTCTTATAAAAATAACCTGTATAAATTTTTGAAGTTGTGATCAATTAAACTCAAATTGACAACTCCCCTCCCATTTGCTCTGTTCTAAAAAAAAATGTATTTTCCCTCACAAGAAATTTTAATCATATGTACTTTTTTTTTTTTTAAACATCACTTTATTGTTCAAACTTGCACAACAAAGGAGAACAATAGCCCAGGACAATTCCATTTTACTGGAAAATGCAGGGCCACATACATGTAGATATACAGTGAATAATGTTATATAACATCAACAAAAATTAACTAATTTTACAACATAGTGAAAGCTGAGGAGTGATGGATATTCCTAGCTATAAATAAGAGGAGCTAAATATTGAAATTTCATTTGATATATCAACTTAATAAATACGAAGCATACATAATGAGTATTATAAGAGTTTGATTTGAGTTAATGTTTAATACAAAGAGGATTCTATCAGTGCCAGGCAATGAAAAGAGACGAGCAGTAGAAAGAAAATATAAGACTGGTTACAAGGTGTATTAACCAATTTGTGTGTGTGAGTAATTACATACTTGAAATGCGAAGGGGAATTTTGGTTTCCCATTTATTGGCATTCTTTGAGTAGTAGATGACAAACGAAGAAACAATAGATAGTTTGGATAGAATCTGTCGAACTTGTTTCACATTGACAGGTTTTCCAATTTCTTTCAACAGCTGCTTTAGCCTCGTCACATTGTCCGGTGAAATATGACCTCTAGAGCCGATTTCCAAAGGAAGATACACCACAGAATATCCATTAGCCTGTATATCGGCAACTAACGGGGCATATTTGTTCGATTTATATTCATGTGCCTTAACTACATTCATTTCAAAGGGAACTGACAATTCAACTATGAGGATTTTCTTTAAGTTCTTCCAAAAAACACAAATGTCTGGGATGAGGTTGGTTTGGGTACACTCTAGTGGAATTGTGGAGATGCCTTCTTTTGTCCACCGCTCTACTTTCAGGTCTGTGTACATAATAGTGTCGCTAAGAGAGGCGATGCCTTCTTGAATAATTTCGGCAAGATACAAAAGTATGTTGTCATGGCGCCAAGTATAGCGTCCCTCGTCAAGTGACACAGGGCATGCGTTTAATACATGGTGTACTGTTTCTCTATTTTCACATTTTTTACAGTTTGCTGATGCCCTTTTACCCCATCTAGTAAGGTTTGCATTCGTATTAAGTGTATCTGAAAGCGAATTCATGAGAAATTTTGCAACTTTGTTGGGTAGGTTGTATATCAGGCTTTTCCATTCTACTGATTTTGATTCCAAGTTTGCAAGTTCAAAAAACTTGCCTTGGACTGAAAGTGACTGGATATGACTCAGCCAGTCCTGTGACCTTTTTTGTACTAGAGAGTCTTTAACCTGTTTCTTCAATTTTGGAAGAGTGGCATTAGGGTGCATGGGTACATGCACCCTAAATATAATAATAAGTTTCTATACGACCCTTGTATGGAAAAAATTTTATTCCGTCATCAATATAACAAAGAAAATGAAAGGTTAAGAAATCTATGTACAGAGCAAATAGGAGAGGACCTCGCAAGATACATCACAGTATTGCCAATTTGTGTTTGATTGACTGCAAAAATTCATTACTTTCTTATTTTTAATCAGAATTTGCTCAAACTTTCACTGGCCTATATTCCTCACATTTTTCTGTTTCTCTTAAAACCAACTTGTTGTCAGGGCGAGCTTCCCCTCCAATAGTACTAGTACATTATAACTCACCTTCCCACTCAAGTGGTATCATGCCTGCTTCGTACTCATGGTGGCTAACGACTGCTTCCACACTCCTCTTAAGCTTGATGTCTCTACCTAAAATGAAATATAAATGTGGAAATGAAAAGCATCAAGTGTCAAATAGATACATTTCTCAAAATGATGATAACCGTATAAGAGACATACGGTAGTCTAGACATGCATGTGCGATGTGTATAGAGACAATTAATGATTGGAAATTGTGCAACAAATTGCACTTACCCACTTAAACGACCGATTTACATAGCACATTAATACCATTTAACAATGAATTGCTTACCGGTACGAGTGCATTACTTGCATGATTAGTGGTGAATATGAACTCCTACATGTCATGCAAGTACATTGTATATCAACTGGGATAATGACGCAGTGAATGGCAGTAACTTGAGAGGAAGTCACACATTCCTAACCTGTGTCAGAGACTTATTTCTGTATCAGCACATTCACTGCAACACTAGATACAGAGATGGACAGGACCCGAGTACTCTTGACCTGATTTTTACCAGAGACGAAGACACAATAGACAACATTGACATCCACCCTTGGGTAAGAGTGATCATATACATGTAGTATTCCAATTTAGACTTGAAGTAAATGCAATTTCTTCAGAAAAAGAGAACAGCAAAAAGAGGAGTTACTACAATGGAGACTATGATAAAATGAGGAGAAGACTAGAAATGATTGACTGAGAATCCGATCTAAATAACCTTTCTAGTTTAGAAACATGGAATCATTTTGAAGAGACAATGCTTTGTTGTATAGATGACCTAGTACCAATCAGAAGAGTATCTAAAAAGAAAAGACCAGAATGGATGGATGACCAGCAGCGCTAAAGAGGGGGTACAAGACAAACATAAGGCATGGAGCAAATACAGCAAGAGAAAGACTGATAAAAATTGGATTTCATATCTTGACAAAAGAAATGCCGCAACATTCACGACATGGAATGCCATTAGTGACTTTGAGAGTAAAATTGCTGATGAGGTTAAAACCAATGCCAACTCTTTCTGAAAATATGTAAAGAGTAAAACCAAGACTCGAACAGGAATTCCTGACCTGCAGATGGAAGACGGTACCTGGGTGAGGAATGATCCAGGGAAAGCAAATACCCTCAATTCCTTTTTTGGAAGTATTTTTGCAGAAGAGGACTTGGTGAATGCTCCAGACATGGATCCTTACCAAGTAGAATCATCATTAAACGATGTCAAGTTTGAAGAGGAAGTAATTGTGGTCATTTTATCGTGGAAAGAGGCTACTGAGCTGTGGTCCCCATCTTTAAGAAGGGAAAAAAAGAGCCTACAACATGTAGGCCTACCAGAAACCTCGGACTACTATAACCATCATAGGCATCAATAATCTGTAAAACAATGGAGAAGATTATTCAAAGCAAGATGATCCAACACCTAGAACTCATTCAACTATTCACTGATAATGATGACAAATTGACAAGATTTTGTTATCGTGTTCTCCTAATGCTTTATCTCATCAGGGAGGTGTTTTACATTCTAGTGGGTAAGTGCGCCCAAAAATGCTTAACTCACGAGGATATGATTATGAGGGAGGTAAACATGGTTGGTAAAGACATTGTTCTAATTATTTTTTTTAACTCACCTTTTGAATTTGTGTGTCCCGGTTTTTCATAATATTTATTGCCCATTTTATCACTACCCACTAACACTTTACTAATCTGTTTAGAAGATCTGAATAATCCACGGAGGAAACTCATCTTTGAAAATTGAAATGAACGCCTTCTCTTGCATGCACACACAAAATGAAATACTGAAACCCTCTAGCTCTCGATATCGCGTAACGATTGCGTAATCAGTTCGGTACCTGAAGTTAGCCCTAATAATAATCATCGAGACAATATAGACACCTTGCCAATTTGACGAAGTCTATAAATTAATCAGTAAATGGTCTGCAACTGTAAGTGAGACTTGTTGCCTTGATTCGTTCAAGTCACATTACACAGGCCCGTAACTATTAATCGCTATTATGTTTAAAAAAATGCAGAAAAAACAAAAACAAATAAGGAGTGTGTTTATTTTGCATTCGAAATACATGTACAAATACGTGTACGGGAACCTTAAAGATAGACTGTATGTCAATAACGCAAATTGGCAACATTCTTAATATATTCGTAATTGTAGCACTAACTTCACGACTGACTGCCTTTGAAAAGGCCTTAGCTGGAATTATGTCCAGGAGAGACGTTTTAGCGTATCGTACAGTTAATCTTGTTATCACTGTTTAAAAAAATGCAGACCATCACTATTCTTGACTCAGTTATACTTTGAAGTGATCTCTAAAAGTCTAAGGAGGTTTTTCTCGGTTGAACGCGAAGATGTTGAATGTTCTTGCCGAGAGGAGTTGGGGAAATGTGCGGCCCAGTCAAGTGCATCGCGCCGAAGCTACCCGCAGGACTTTCCGGCTGCAGCTGAGCAAGCACCGCGACGTTCAACGCATTCATTCCAGCGGGATCAACTCGCTGGACATTGATCCCATCGATTACAAATTGTGAGTAGAAAAGCAGACGTGGATCCAGCGGGGGGGGGGGCGGGCCTTGCCCCCCCCCCCCCCCGCAAGAGAGAGAGAGAGAGAGAGAGAGAGAGAGAGAGAGAAAAGAAAAAGAAGGGAAAGGGAAAGAGTGCTTTGCCTCCCAGCTGTTACCCCCCCCCCCATAAAAAATAAGAGAGAAAGAAGGAAAGGGAATGAAAAGAGGAGATAAAGAGAAGGAATAAAGAGGAATAAGAAAAGAAAAGAAGAGGGATATCAGTTGCAATTTTCGCGCCAACAAGTTGTAGTTCGGGAGGGCCAAAAGGGCACCCTGCCCCCCAAAAAAGGTGGGGGAGGGGAGCAGAGCCACCAGAAGTCAAAGGGTTTTTGTCACCATTACGTACCAATATTTGGCTCCCACCCCTAAGAAATCCTGGATTCCTTAGGGGAAAAGTACACTTCTCCAAGTTATAAGAAGTCAGGGGGCCGTTTCTCGAAACCGTCATAACTACAAGATCAACGACATCTCGCCACTGTCACGCAACTTGTCAGCTAAGTGTTTCACGAAGCCGTCTTTGCCAAGATGAGCGACAACTTCCGCGACAAGCGAGTTGTCACTGCTCCGAACCTGTCATATCTTTTTAATTTCTGTAAAGCGCCATCACAAGTCAGTTTGTTGCCACTCCATGGGCCGCGAAATGGACGATTAGTTTCACTATCATTTTGAGAAAAATATAGACGAGTTCGGTACGTAATTCTCTGGGATGCGAAATGCAAATGTACAAAAGTGAGAATACAAATTATACAGAAACTTTAAAAAGCTGAATATAAACATTAAATCACAAATCACTAAACTATAACATATAAATAAGAGAGGTAAGAATGTTACACACCGTTTTCCATAGTCGATCCATAGTCTTTTCTTAGGATACCGTCATACCTTTGGGGCCGTTGTGCACTATTATTCCCTCTCTAATTACTTCTTCCAAATTATATTTTCAATATCAAATCAATTATATAACGAGTATTTATGAGACTCTAGAATAAAAACTGGCTGGAAAAAGACATTTTGCCTAAAATTCCTCGTCACAATAAACAAAAAAGTACGTATTGATAAACTATCACATTACGGTATCCTTCAACTAACTTTTCATTCGACTGTCAAAAAAAAAACACTCACCGGTTTTTCTTCAATTTAAGAATCTTTACAGAAATATACAAATCGTTTGATGATGTAAATATGATAATGACACTATTTATTATTTATTTTAGGAGAATTTATATGTATATATTTCTTTTTGAACAATTTTAGTCCCAAAACTTGCTTTGGGTTATTCTTGATAAATCAAATGGATCGTGACAAAGACTATCTTCTTGAGCTGCTAGTATCGCGATATATCGATATCATGTCTGTCATGGCTTTGTGAAACGGTTTATCCGCTTCATGACATCTCCGTAGGTCGGCGACAAAGATATGACTGTCATGGAGTTGGTTTCGAGAAACGGCCCCCAGGTCATTATCCAGATTCTACCCAAAGTAGAAAAAAAGCCTGGAAAGATAGTAGTTGCTCACTATTCCTAGCGCCAGTGTACTTTCGTATCCATTTTTTTAGCATTTTCATATCCATTCTTGGCACGAAGAACTTTGAGTGAATAGGAACCAGCGATAGCCAATAAGAAGTGCCCTTAGTAAAATGAGTCTGGGATTTGCTGAGATTTTATGAACGTTCTGTCTAGTGCTGTAGCCGAACAGCCGAACCGAACATGGCACTTCCGAACCAAACCGAACCAAACCGAATGCAAAAGCCTGGTTCGGAGATTCGGCTGAAAATTTTTAATTTTTTCGCAAGCTAATAAACTTGTCATTTTGTACCTAATTTTCATGTCATAATTGGTCATTTTATATTTACTTTTTTCCCATGTCATAATTGGTCATTTTATATTTACTTTTTTCCCATTTTCCGTCTTTGTGATTTATGCCTATCCAGTGGTGGGCACGACTTCACTGGCGCCATTTAAATCCCAAATCCTGACCACGGTACGTCGCGATCGCAAGCTATAAACAAGAATACATGTGCGTGATCAAACCCATTTAACAAAAATAAATCAATATTTGAATTGTAACAATATCGGACAAATTTTACAATATTAATAATGAAATAAATATATATTATAGTATGGTACATGTATTTATTTATTCAGGAAAAATAGGTATTTTATATTTTTCCTATTGAAAATAAAAACTTATAAAAAACAGTTATTGACAAGCCTGAATTGCTATTCAAGATGGCAGCTTTCATGACGCTAACATTAGACAACAACCGTCTCGGAAAATCTTGAAAAAATATCATTTATTGACAAATTGAAAACATGATTCTTTTAAAATTGAAAATAAAATACAATTCAAGACGGAAATACGAATGTAAGTAGTACTTTTCTTCACAAATTATTACGTTTAGAAATTCGTGCTGGTCGGAAGCACGATTTTTCAGCAGGAGTGGGCAGAAGTCCTTCGTGCTGGTCAGGCCTGGCCGGCCGGCCCACCCAGTGCCGACCGCCGTGGCTATAACGCTGCTTGCTATTATATTACCGAACCCCGAACCGAACCAAGTTCGGGTGAAAAATTGCCGAACTCTGCCGAACCGAACACGAACATAGCGTCTGACTTACAGCACTAGTTCTGTCAACTTCTGTGCATGCGCTAAATATAAGCTTAAGTTCTGTGTGCCCTAAACCTAAACCTAAACCTAAACCTAAACCTAACCCAAACCCAAAAGTTTTGTAACTATTCTCTTTCCAGACTTTTTTTCTACTTTGGGCAGAAACCGGAGAATTACCAAAATTAATTATTTAGTTAATATTGAATAGTTTCTTGATAATTGCATATACCCCAGATGTCTGACATCTATTTGAAGATGTATGAAAAGTTCTTTGAAATAAAGACTTGATGAAACAACAACCTCTCATTTGCAGTATGCTATCAGGAGGGGCTGATGGAGTCATTGCAATCTACGACCTGGAATGCATTCCAGAGGTCAAAGAGTTCACTTGTGAGACAGTGTGTACTATTGGCAGGTGAGACATTTGTATCTTTTATTGTTCTCATTAGTGTATGCATTAATGTATTGTACACCTGTAGCTCGTTTAGTACCGTAAACCAGAAACTTTCACAGACGTGAAATGTTTCAAGTTACTTAAAGTTTCAGGTCTGCTTTTGCAGAAAATTCTAGAAGTGTAACTGTTTCAGATTTATTGAAAGATTAAAATATATCAACATCAATAAATAATGACATTTAGTAACAGTTATCAAGAAGAAAAGTGGTAAATGTACATGTAAGTACAATGTACAGTATTTTAGTGATCACTTTTATGTGTGTTTCTATCTTTTGCATGATGTTATACATCCAAATGATTAAATCATTCATTTTCGTATTCTGATTGGGTTTGTTTAAATTTAATTTTCTTTTGATAAACTACAGTACATACTTTCCACATATACACTGGATGTAGCCAGGGCTCGAACTGTCAAGGTAGAAATGTAGGCTGCCTATGTCCACAGTTATTATTTATCACGTACCGGTACATCCTTTGACGGAATTTGCTACCCACTAAGGCTGTGCACAACAGTATAATGAGGTACCCGAGTACACTCCCAGGCTTACAAGCAAATACTTGAATATTCGGAAGCCATGTTTTTTTATAATTTTTTTGAATTTTTGTCTCGCCTGTGTAGCAAAAAGCGAGACATAGGCGCCGCTTTTACAGCGACGGCGGCGATGGCGACGGCGGCGTCAACATAAAAAACTTAACCTACATGTAAGGTTAAGTTTTTGAATTTGTGATATAACTTTTAAAGTATAAGTTCTTAGTTAATGAAACTTTGACTATATAGTAATCAAGTATCCCCAATCATGTGAGTAGAATTTCAGATCACAAAGTCAAGGTCAAAGGTTATTTCAGGTCAACAAACTTAGACTTTGTTGTGGCATCAACATCAAGATTTTCAAAATGCTTCTTCGTTATTTTTCAACCGATTTTGATTCTGATTGTTTCATATGATAGGGCTAGGAGGGGGATTTAAAATTACTACACAGAATCGTGAAATTCATTATCTATGCTAATTTATGCAAATTTATTCGAAATTAAAAAAAAGGCTTTTTCTCCTTCATTTCTCAACCGGTTTTGATTTGGTTTGCTTTATATCGTAGAGCTAACTTTGGTACACTAAACTTCTACACAGAATTTTGAAATTGTTCTCCATTAATTAATTATGGTAATTTATGCAAATTTATTCCAAAAATAACAAAAATTGCTTCTTTTTCCCTCATTTCTTGACTGATTTTGATTTGGTTTGCCTTATCTGGTAGAGCTAAATTTGGAACACTAAACTTCTTTACAGAATTGTGAGATTTTGCTCCATTGATTATTTATGGTACTTCATGCAAATGAAATGAAATTATGTCCCTTCCAGGGCATCAAATTTTTATTTTTTGACCAGTTCAAAAGTTTACCACATAAAATTTACGATATTTGTTGTTGCGAGATGCGTATGAGCGCTACGTCATAGACGTTCTGGTTTATCATATTGAATTGCGTTATGCAGGCGAGACCGCCGAGAGCGTTTCCCTTGTTTTGAATTTTTTTTTTTTTAATTTAATTTTTTTTTTTTTGCCACCACCATACCACTGGAGCAGTATCCCAAGTCCATCTCAGAAAACGCATGCAATTTTACTTCGAGTTGCAGTTGAAGGCGTTGATTTAATAATAATAATAACAGTAAACAATGCTATTTTAAAAACCAAAGATGGCACAATAATCCATTGATCCATGAGTAGTGAGTTTGACAGTGCTTGAGTTGGGAAACATTTTTACCGACGGTACCATGCCAGCGGCTGCCACTCTGCCTGGCACGAGTAAGCGTCGGCCTGGGTTTTTTTTTTTTTTTTTTTGCGGCCGAATATTCGAGTACGAGAAATCGTACTCGAGTAGTTGTCAAACGTGCGGGTACTTGAGCATTCGACTACTCGTCGCAGCCCTATTACCCACCATCTTTTCAGCATGCTTATTTTCTTGTCCTATTTCTTTGTGATAGGTCCAATCGGCATGTTCACAAGCACAGTGTGGAGACAGTCCAGTGGTATCCAAGGGATACAGGAATGTTTACATCCAGCTCCATGGATACGACTCTTAAGGTCTGGGACACCAATGCCCTGAAGCCTGCAGAGCGCTTCGTCCTAGGGAAGGGCATCTACAGCCACCATATGTCTCCTGTGGCTAACAAACATTGTCTTATAGCTGGTTAGTCTCTTGCTCTATCAAGGTTCATACATAATAGAATAAAATAAAGTATAAGCTAAATTTCCCAAACAATGCAGTACTGCACTTAGAAACATTAGTATTAAACGCTGTATTTGATGTTTGTTTACTTGTTTTACTTTCACTTTCGTATATTAACTGTGTTTCTGTACTTTTAATGCAAGTGTGGAAATAATTTGTTATTCACTACATGTTAGGACGCTTTTGTGCTGATGCGATACCTCCCAAATAATTGTTGATCTTGGTGTATCTGGAGAGTTTTTATTCACTTAGAGTTAGTGTCATGTGGTTTGCTAGTGGTTGTCACCCTACTAGACAAGTTTGACATCGATCCATCATTCTACTTTTGAGTAAAATGAGTATGATTTCTGATCGTGTTTGGACTGTCTTGTTGCTGTATTTGATACACTAGTCTTGTTCAGAGTCAGAGAAAAGTTACCCTAGGGTAAAGGTCTTGTTAAGAGCTAGTCAAAGTAAATATGGCGGGGTATATGGCTGGCCAAGCGAGCCACTATCCATCCAACTATATGACTAGGTATACGTCTATCCAGCCGGCCAATCAGAATTCTTCCTTTTCCGCCTTTTCTCTCCTCTCTTTCTCTTCCCCTTTCTTCCTTTCCCCCTCCTTTTTCTCCTCTTCTCTTTTCTCTCCTCTCTCTTTTATTCTTCTTTCTCTCTTCGCTTTTCTTTCTTTGCCCCTCCTTTTTCTTTCGCCCTCCTTTTCCTTTCTCCCTCCTTTTTCTCCTTCTCGCCCTTTTTCCTTTCCCCCTTGCCCCTTTTTTTTTACCAGGGGGGGGGGGCACAAGCCCCCTGTGCCCCCCATGAATCCGCCACTGGTATAGTTGTAAAGATGTACAGTTTCCTGCGTTCTGATTGGCCGGCTGGATAGTCGTATAGTTGTACGGATAGTGGCATGCTTGGCCTGCCATATACCCTGCCCTTTTTACCTCGACTAGCTCTGAACATGACCTTTACCCGTCTGAATGTAGCTACTGTAGTACAGGGCACATACAGTAGCTGATAGTACAATTATTGTTAACCCCACACCAACAATAGATGGGCTTCTGACTGGAATGTGGATGAATGGAGTTAGCATGGATGACCGCACCCCATCTTTTTTAGTGAACTGTGAAGTCAAGTTCTCATGTCAATGGATCTAGAATGTGTTAAGGCAAGCCTTGATTTCTCTTCACCATAGCTATGTGTCTTTCCTCTGATACTTATGCTCACATCAAGGAGTCGGGTATCGATCACGTGAGAGGAGGAAGAGCTCGGTGGATGTCATATTCATAGGAGGACTGGCAATGTACAGATGCAGAAGTATCCATAGAAAAAGTATGTATTCACTCAGGAGATTGAGAATGACACTGGTGGACCGTGGCTCTGATTCTGGTATGATTCTTGTACTTTTGAGTTCCTGTAGAAAACAAATTTCGAAGCGGGTTGCAACGTTGTTAATTTGGTACCAATTCAGAGAGAGAGGTATGAAAAGCTCAATGTTCACCTTTGGAACTGCAACTCGCTTGGAAACAAAACGTATCTTTTGACTGATTACATCTTGGAGAGCAATGTTGATATTATGTTTTTGACTGAGACGTGGTTGAAGAGGGAGGATCCAGTGGTGATTGGTGAAGGTACGCCGTCAGGATATACATTCATTATGTACCACGAGGGAGGGAGGATGCCCATGGGGGTATTGCTGTGATCTATAGAACTGGGCTGAACCTGTCTATCATCAATGTGGAATCTACACATGATTCTTATGAACGAGTCTGTGTTACTGATCCTGCAAGAATGGTGTGCTATGTTGTGATCTATGAGCCGCCACCTTCTACGCGGAACGGCCTTAAAACTAGTGACTTTCTTGCAGATTTTGATGAACTGATCAGAGAACTCACAACTCGTTTATTCAAAGTCCTACTACTTGGAGACTTAAAATTTATGTAGACACTCCCAACAAGTCTGAAGCAGCTCAGCTTCTCTCTTCTCTTGAGGATGTAGGTCTCCAACAGCACATCCAGGGTCCTACTCACAGATATGGTCACATGCTGGATCTGATTATTTCTAAGGACAATGATGATTCTTTTGTAACATCGTGTCAGGTTCATGAGAAGTCATATTCTGATTACCATTTTCTTAGCTGTGTATTAGATGTGGGAAAGTCCAAGTTAAAGAATCTTACCTCGGTATCTCGTGATGGACAGTGGTCCTCTTAACACAGCAACCGGCCAGATGACGTGATACACACTGTACAATGTACTTTGGCTCAAAGATGATTTATTTATTTATTTATTTATTTTTTTTAGGTACACACCAGGAAATAATTCTTTTAAACCCTGAAGATTTTTAATGTTGACTTTGTCTTGTTGTAGTTGGAACGATAGATCCCCATGCTACCCTATGTGATCTTAAGTCCGGCTCCTCAACCCACATCCTCAAGGGGCACAAGGCTTCAGTGGTCTGTGTGCAGTGGTCTTCTAAAGATGAGTTCTTATTGGCAACTGGGAGGTGAGTCTGCACTACCATTCAAACTATCAGGCATTGATCCTTCGAATTTAGTGTGGAAATTGCCATGAGAAATTTATCTATAACAACTGACCAAATAGCATGAAATTGGCAATGTAAATATGACTGTTTTTGATGAACTGTGTTCTACAATACTACAGTGTATCAAAGAAAACCATAATAAGTAATAATAAAAACATTACTTATAAAGCGCTTACCACTAAAATCTCTATGCACTTTCTCTAAATACTTAAACTGTGTCAAGGTTACTTGTGGACTGCCACAAATTTAGAAGGCTGGCATGATATCATTTTTGTTGCATTTAAGAAAAATATTAATGTTATAAGGTTTCTTAGCCCTGTATGCAGGTATCAAAATTACCATCACTTTTTAAACACTATGTCCATCTTAATTTCACCAGCCGGGACAACAAGATACTGATGTGGGACATCCGCCAAGCCAAGGGAAGTCTGATGTCCCTGGATCAGCACAATGGTGAAGTGGTCAAAGGCTCTTCTGCAGGTAATTTATTTGGATTGGAATCCCCAAGTTCTGAATTTCATACTAGATGAGTGTTCGAAATATACCTGTTTCCACATTTTCTTCCCTCTAGAGTTGAATTTTCTTCTCCAATTTCCACCGAGTGCTACATGTGTCAAAAGTAATACTTTGAAGAACCATGTATAATTGAAGTGTGTTTTTACCACGTCACTGAAGCCTTGCCATTTTGTATGATGGGGGTCGGGTGCCTGGACTCGTAGCAAACATAAAGACTTCTCTTTTGCCTTCTGATTTTACCGAAAATATTTATCAAACAGAACTAACCATTCATGAATATTTGTCCTTTATAATATTGTCCAACATTCATTTTAGAAGATTTATGAAATATTGCTTGTGAACTTCTTCAAATTGCTGTTTTAAATCAACTGTCTAGATACACAATCAGTTCGGACATGCGAGGTCTTGGTATACTAATAATTGGTACCAGGTCTACTGTCTAATCCTATTAGAGGCTAACACATGTATGCATTCAGCTTTCCTTTGAATCAGTTGTTGTATTGCTTGACCTCTACAGTGAGTACAGCTCATAGTGGTCATGTTAATGGACTGTGCTTCACCGAGAATGGTCTTCATCTGGTCAGCTGTGGGACAGATAACAGGGTCAGGCTCTGGGACACACTCAATGGCAAAAACACACTGGTTAGTTCATAATAGATCTCATGCAAAGTGTATGGTTTGATGTTTTTTTATCAAGGGCCAGTATTGTGCAATGTCCTGCATGAACCTTGGCAAAATAGAAACGGATGATTCTGTGCAATGTATTGTATTGTATTGGATTGGTTTATGGAGATAAAACAAATCATTGAACATGCAGCTAACAGCTGAATTTGGTCAAATTACAGAGTAATAAGTACATGGCTTAAAAATACATTGATGACACATAAAAAAGATATTGAAAACTGAACAAGTATTGTTTACATGTATATTTACATGCAATTTACAATGTTCATTGTTGATTTATAAAATTGTCATTTGTTTTGAGTAAGACAGAAAGTTGAAAGTGATAATTTACAAGTTTATTGCAACAATGACGTAGTATATGTATACTAGAGCTACCCTGAGCGTGGAAACAAACCTGTATGATTGACTCTTTGTCGACATATTGTCTCCCATTGTTTTATCTACAAGCTCGTCGACAGAATGCCTGTTGACAATAGCACTAGAGTACAGATTACTTTACCATGTTTTGGGGACAGATTTTTTTGGGTTGATCATGCTTCTCATTTTCCAACCATTGTGTGTGTGTTTATGCTCCAACCTCCAGATCAACTATGGTAAGGTGTCCAATAACATGCGTAAGTGCATTGAGATCTGCACATCATCGGGTGTTCAGCCTGACGTGGCTTTCATCCCCAGTGGGAGTGACATTGATATGTTTGATGTGTTCAGCGGAGAGACAGACAGTACCATGAAGGGCCACTACAACAATGTTAACTGCTGTGTCTTCCATCCTCTATACCAGGTTTGTTGTTATGTGCTGTTGATAAGTCTCAATCCCTCTTGACCCCAAGACAACTTTTCTCCGTGTTGTTGTTGCTGTTTGGTATTATCAGCGTTTCATTATTTTTGGGAATAATTACGCCTTTCATTTAAATTTCTTTTTTTTTACACTATTTGTAAATTCGCTCTCTTTAAAAATCATAGTTTTTTGATAATATAATCTCAGATCCACTGGTCCATGAAATCCCCTTATGTATCTTCCTGTAATTGTTTGACACATGCTCTAGTGATAATTGCTTTGCAGTCACTATAATCAAATTCTTAAATTCAACCATATAAACAAACACTAAATTAAACCCTAACCATAACCCTTGACTAAATCTAAAACCCTTACCTGAACATCATATCTTTGACAATATAAGGCCTGGGGGGTGTTTCATAAAGCTGTTTGTAAAGTTACGCATGACTTTACGAACGACTTGTATATGTGCCAGATAGGATGCCCAAAGATTTGTCTGATATTTCCAATAACCTCAATCAAATTATGGCAAAAAATAAACTTTGCATTAAAAATGTTTGTTATAATAAGAATGTTAATCTACATCTGCACAGTTTAACTTTAGTTGGGGGGTGTTTCATAAAGCTGTTTGTAAAGTTACGCATGACTTTACGAACGACTTGTACATGAAAAACCATATGGGATGCTCAATCATTATTAACTAAAGTTGAACTGTGCAGATGCAGATTAACTTTCTTATTATAAAAAACGTTTTTAATGCAAAGTATATTTTTTGCCATAATTTATGCCTGGATTACATTTGCCCTGGGCGCCGTACGATAAATTAGTCTATGATTTTTCGTTGACATCGTAGGAGGCTACGGGCTACGATGTTTGTGTTTACATTATCTACGAGCATCGTGCCATTTATTGTATTGGCCCTCGGGGCAGGCCGGGGCAAATCCGTACAGAGGCTGCTCAGAGATTGTATGGAAATCGTGCAACTTCCGTGCAAAGGTTGCACGTAATAGGCGTGGTGGCCGTTCAGCAATCTTGCGATTGCTGTGCAATGGCCATGCGAATTCCCCACGAGTCTACAATCTCTGTACAATTTTTTTTGCCCCCATGTTCACCGAAAAATTGTACGTTTGCTGCACAATCAGTGCGAGGCCTCTGGGCGATGCCCGTGCGGGGATTGTGCAATGCCATCTACGACGTGTATACGGGCTACGGGCTTACGGTTTTTCAAATTTGTTAAACTTCTCGCGAAACAAAATCGTAAAGGCTGCGGAGCCCGTGAATCCGTTTGAAAATCTCACGGCCGCCTCCTGCCTCCGCACAGAGGCTGCACGGAAAAGGTGATACGGACAGGATACGGGCTCTGTAGACTAATCGCAGGCCAAATGTAATCCAGGCATTAATTGAGGTTATTGTCAACAAAAAAAGTGGTCATTAAACTATATTATTGATAATGATGAATGATGGTGATAATTGTGATGATGTATAATCCTTTTGTATTTAATGTATTTCATATTGTTCCATATGATTCATGTGTACGATTATTTTTGCAAGCTCAATTTCCCCCACTTTAAAATTTAGCTTTAGCTTTGTTTGCTTGACCTCATTTCGTTTTAATATGATGAAAGGTCAAATTTTTCAACTATCAATACCCTTGTATGTGACTGAATATCTTTTGAATCTTCTCTCTAATTGAATAGGAAGTATACAGTGGAGGAAACGACAGTAACATCCTGATCTGGGAGCCTGATATGGGTCACATTCACTTTGAAGAACCACCACCAAAGAAACTAGTAAGACCTTAATCTTTATGCGATATCCATTTTTTTGTGTAGTTAAGAGTTTGTTTTCATAACTTCAAATAAGGTAGACCATATGATACACCTTCTGCAATCTGCATGTACTTTTTTTTTTAAATTTCAAATTACAGATCGATAGATTGATATTTCAATAAATCCAAAGAGAGTGGACTGCAAGTTCGATTTTGAAAGTCTAACATGAAGGGTAATAAATACTCCTCAAACACGTCTTTAAAAAAAAGTTAAACAAACAAACAAAACACGTTCATAAAACCATATGCAAGCAGTTAATAAGCTAGAGCAATCAACTAGCAAAGTGGGGTTTGAAGATGCAATTTAAGCAGTGGGATGGAAACATTCATGATATATTTGTTACATTTTCAGGCCGGTGCATCTAAGGTGAAGAAGTTCAATGGAAACGAGATTAATGCCACGGCAGACACATGGAGTAGCAGTGATGAAGGAGACTGAAGGTTGACATTGGTTGGTGTAAGAAGAACAACTGCAGTCCAGCTGCAGATGAGGGTCAGATATGAAGAAGGGCTGGATCTTTCTGAAGATGGTAACCTTCATACATTGTAGATGATGATCTGTAAGGGAAATCTTGATTGAAGATGAGTAATGCTGTACACATGCTATACAACTCCTGTTCATCTTCTGTGTATCATCAGTGTGCAGGCTTGGCATCATCTGCAGCTTCTGTGCAGCATTTGTGCCGCTAGTGTGCACCTCCTGTGCAAAGGCTGTGAATTTCATATGCAGCTGTGAAGCTTCAATGGTTCTCTTGTGCCATCACTATGTAGCTGTTGTAGGTGTGGTGTATCAACATGCGAAAGAGTCGAAGAATGTTCCAGCAAAGCATAGTAAGAAAGTGACTACCACCACAGTGTCCGCTCGATGATGTGAGAACTCACAAGCAGGTTTAGTAACCATGATGATATAGATAGAGATGGAGATAGAATTCGATGTGATTGTTATGAATAAAGCATTAGACCTAATATCAGTTAAATTTCTGCCTTGAACCGAAAGCATGGCAGTCTATCTCATGTATACATATATGTGTGTGTTCTATTTAGCATTTTGAGCCAAACTTGAAAGTGGTTGAATTGTGCCTAAATCCATTAGAAAATGCCTGAAAACTATAGTGGAGAGTCACAGGTGTACCATAAAAATCATGACTGTTGCTTAACCTTGTACTCCGTGGGTAGCACTCTGCTAAGTAGTGTATCAGAATGTCCATGTTATTTTCAATTTCTCACCTTTACAATCGATTCTCACAAAAATATATTCTACAGCGTGGTATCGGAGAAGCTGGCTCCTTAATCACTTAATTAGATAACTTTTAAAACAGTTGAAGAAAGAGTAATTTTTGGTTGATTTGTTTATTGAATTTGAATTTGAATTTGAATTCATTTGCAACAACAATCATATATGCTGCTTGTAAGTGTCGGCTTGCATGGTGATGTAGATATACAGTAGGCTTGCGGGTGCACCATGTGACAGAGAGGGAGGATTGAGGAGTCATAAAAAGGACTCTCGGTAATCTTTCTTGAGGGGTTGTAGTGCTGAAAAGGACTGTTTGGTATAGTCTTGAAAAAGGCTGTTGGTTATCTTTCTTAGCTTATGGTTCTAAGGAGAACTATAGTGCTTGAAGAGGATGAGTGGCGGGAGTGGCTCGACGTTTCGAACAGGTTGACTCCTGACGACTGGTAACCTTTAAGTTTACCAATCTTACTCTGATCAAACACAGGCTTGTGTTTTTCTAGGATCAATTGCAAGACATCTTGCATATTGTGAAGACTAGAGACTGGGCTTGAGAGATTGTTGTCATTTTGTGACTCACAAACTTCTTCAGAAGTGCTGGGCATTCATCTATCCAATCTCTTCCTAACAAGGTAGCACCCCTATTAACTACCAGGGTAGTTAGCCTCTTTGGGTTTCCCTGAGGTCCAAACCTCACCTCTACAGTGGCTTCCCCTACAATCCCAACACTATTCTCAGTGTAGGAGTTTAGTTTGATACTGGATTCTCTCAATGTATCATTGTGGCTTACAGACTTAAAGGCCCGAATTCACAAAGGAGGTTTGTCGACAAACCTTGGTTTTCGTACGTCATATGACGCGTTTTACGCGTTTTCTACAAACCTGGTTTGTAAAGAACAAAAGGAGGTTTGTCAAAACAAAAGGAGGTTTGAGCTCAAACCTTGGTCTGAGCTCAAACCTTGCTTTGTGAATTCGGGCCAAACTGTTCTTTGGACATAATAGTCCTTGGACTTCCTGTGTCCAATTCCATTATCATTTTCTTGCCGTTAACAAAAACTGTCACTGAATATGGTTCATGAGAGAGCTTATTTACACTGATCAAGTGGCTTAAAGTATCTGCCTCATCATCATCTTCAAGATGATGTGTAGCTCTATTAGTATGTGTATACTGATTTGGTTGCTTTTTTCTTTTGTTGAATGCTTGTACTTTGTCACATTGGCTCTTAGTGTGCCCTTTTTGCTTGCATTTGTAACAATCTTCAGAAATGTATGGGCATGATGTGTACGTGTGATTATTGGCTCCATACCTGTCCTTATGTACTTTATGTATTTCTTGTACATTTGATGTCAAGTCCGGCATCTTTGCCATTGATTTGAGTTTTTCAACATCTTGATTGGCCATTTCCATTGCCCTAGCTATCTGAAATGCCTTATCAAAGGTTAATGAAACCTTGCTTAACAACTTGCGCTGGATAGCAACATTATTGCACCCAACTACTAATCTATCGCGAAGCATATTGTCTAATTCCTTGAATTTGCACCCTTCACTTAGTTCTTGCAAGTTTGCTACAAATTGTGGGATTGTTTGATTGTTTTGCTTACAATTGTAAAAGCTGTATTTCTGAACAATTTCGGTAGGTTTAGGTTCATAGTGATCTGCAACCGATTGTAAACGCCGACGTCTCATTTTAAAGGGGAGAAATGTTATATATGTGTCTGGAACAAAGACTACGAAAGTATGAGATTGTCATTTGTATGTATTGTGCAGAGAGCAGCATTGTATGCGCGCGACACACTTCATCATGGCCTCCTGACTGCCAACTTCATGACACGACTCACCATGAAATAGTTAAAAGACTTGTATAGTGTTTCCTCATTTGTGTACTGGTTTTATTACCAACATACATAACAAGATAAAAAGAAGGTCTTAAATACTGTGTCATTTCTTTTCCTGGTCAAGGTGGTTGTTGCTGTTGCAGCAGTGAATGCATCCTGGGCAGAAGTTTGCTTTCCCTGGATGCCTGTGTATAGTGTTTCTGCGACGTTAAATACTAAAACTGACAGCTGCAATCCATAGAAGGTCTGGAGTTTCTCCATTTGGGCTTTAAGTCCACCAGCTCTATCCCCATACACCGTATGGTCTGTATCCTGTCCTTGCAGTCCCCGCAAGGAATTCTTCAAAACTTGCCCGTGTTGTTGTTTCGCTCGAAATTGTGTGGTGTACAAGTCCCACCTCGCCAGATACGGCGAATGTAATGTTTACATTATGTCCTCGCTGTCCATGCACGACCCTGCGAACTGGCTCTCCACGACGAGGCCTTCCAAACGAACGTCTTGTCCAAATATTATATCCCGTTTCGTCTATGAACACGAGATGGGCTTCCACACCCTCCGCCATAAACCATTCGGCGTACTCGAAGCGCAGATCAATGGTTCTTGGGGCATTACGGCCTTCAGGTACGTCCTCTGTCAGCTTCAATGATATGAACATTCCGTCAAGTGCTCTTGATATGGTAGCGATAGATACAGCTGGCTTTTGAGGTGGCTTTTCTTGGACGAGTGGCTGTTGCCTGACTTCTACCTACATTGGCATTATGGTCGAGTACCCTTAGCTGCGCTCTAGCAAGCATTGCTGGGTAAAAGAAATGCTGCCTCTTAGCGCAATACTTTAAGTACAGCCCATGATAGGATTCCAGCATCCCTGTGTGGCACACCTTTGTCAACTGTTTCATATCCTTAACCAACTTCTTGTCAAATACAACTTGCTGTATGGCCTCATGCGATGTGGATCCAGGCGCAAGCCATTTCCTCTGCTGTGCTTCATCGGTGGTCAATGGGGAGTGGGCACACTGGTGAAATTTGTCGGCGGAACTCCATGAGTGGACATCCACTAAGTGATGGGTCATTGATTGCACCATTTCAACCAGCCTTGTCTAATCCTCTCGGCAGTGCTGGGCTGACCACCAAATGTGGTTTGAAATGTGGTGTATCCATGGAAACAGTTCTTGGCAATCCTTTGTCTTGGCTTTCTTTGTAAGTCGCTTTACCACTGATTTGGAAAAATGCCACACATCGAATTGGTGGTTGCTACTGGGATAGTCTTCTCTAAGCATCTTTCTGATCGCAGTGTGATGATCTGTTTGATTAAGGTACAATTTACACTTTTCTTATAATCTTTCACTCATCAGCCTTGCACTCTTGCTCATCTTTTTTACCTTAGCCTTTCACAATTCAGCATTTTACTCCTCAGCACCAGCATACATGTAAAACAGTGTTTTTAGGGGAGGGGGGGGGGGTCGATTACCCTTTCTTCTTTCATTTTCGGCCTATTGATGCTCATCAGGTAATAATTTGCCACGCTCAGAAACTTTTGTATCAAGTGCTATATAAATGTTGCACATTATTATTATCACTCCTCTTTTTCTCGCTTCTTCTTCAGCCTTCCAAGCACCTCTTTCATTCTTCATCCTTTTATTTATCTACCTTTCTCTACTGAGCCCTCCACTTCTCAGTTTTTATCTCATCAACTTTCACTCTCAGACATTCACTCCTCAGGCTTCCAATTCCCAGACAATCACTCCTTAGTCTTCATTTCTCAGACTTTCACCACTCGCTCTCACTTCTTGGCCGTTCATCCATCAGCTTCTACTCTGTGGCAAAAGCAAGATCAAATGGTCTTTTCAAGATAACAATAATTCAGAATATACCTATATCAAAGTTTTATTTGCATTGTTGATCATTATATACAAATATACATAAAGTTTGACAAATGTTAATCATGGGAAAATTACTTATTTGCATGACAAATACTAAATCATGTGTACAGTGTGCCCTGATGATTTCATATTCACATACTGTATCAAATTACCCTTTTCCCACTTGAATCTTACACTGAAGTTTTTCACCAATCATAGTGTATAACACTCGGATCACTTCATCCAGAGCCCATTTTCTTTTGTGTAACATCTACATGTAATATGCATGATATAATGATAACAAATAATGACAATAGGCATGCCTGTCCTCCAGCTGGAAAATACAACTGTTGGTACTCTTCAAAAAGCATGTACAGCTCGGTTGATCCCCAGAGTACCGGATCTCTGGTGTCTGTACCAGAGATCATGGTGCACTGTAGTATCTCTTGGTACAGTACTCCCTGCCTAAATTCTTGAGAAAATTCTCAGTGGCATTCTCCTGGTAGCTGAGCTTGTCAGCTACCGTTTGGTGAAAACCTTTTGTTGTCCTGTTCTGCTTCATCCTCTTGTATACGTCATGGCAGCTGAGATACTCCTGCGTAACGGCAAGTATTCCTTCCAGAGTCCATGCTTTCCTTTTGTTTGCCAAAGTTCTATGATGGGAAAAAATATTCATAAATTAAAGCATGGGTGTTGGATTGTCTTGTGTGGACTGGGTAAGTGGGAAGTCTCTCTTCAAATATCCTGGCTGATTGCAGGTCCAGCAGTTTCTGGGGTTTCCATCACCAAACCTAGGTGTAGGCTGTTCAGACGTTGAAAGCAGGGCTAACAGGGATTCAACCTGCTTTTGCTGGGTGGCAATCTGCTCTGCCTGCTGGCGTATGGAATCCTGCATCCCACTGTCTGCACTTACTCTCTGACAGGGGCGGATCCAGCCGGCGGCAGGGGAGGGGGCCCAAATCGTGAGAAAATATTTAGCGGGGAAACAGCCAGCCGCTGAATAAACGGAGGGGGGGCCCTCAAAAATTTGAGAAATCGCACCCCCCCCCCCTCCCTTGAGTGCCAGGGGAGAGGGCCCAAAAAAAGGTAAAATTAACATGTTTTAAAACTTTTTTTTCCCGAGCTCCGCCACTGTCATGTAGTACCTTGGCCTTCTCACAATGTCCCATAAGTGCCAGGACACGGTGCCTTATGTCAAAAAAGGACATCTGAGGGCCTTCATTGTCCATCCGGCAGAGCTTCAGCTGAGCCTCCCTGCTGGGCTTAAAGGTGGGATCTAGATCAGTGATCCTATCTCTTCAGCTGAGCCTCCCTGCTGGGCTTCAAGGTGGGATCTACATCGGTGATCCTATCAAAGATTTGAACTTACTCCAGGGAGCATGTGGTTAGATCTTCTCCTTCCCTTTGGCTGTAGCCATAGAAGCGTTGCTGGAGTTGAGGTAGGGTGTTTCCATCTCCTTGGAGAGTGTTTTTAGGA